GTGTATATATATATATATATATATATATATATATATATATATATATATACACACACACATATATATATATACACATTAAAAAACTGTCCTATAGAAATTCCAAGAGAAGGAATTTACGAAAAATATATACTTAAGTCCTACTTAAAATGGTTAAAAAAACACTCTTAAACTCAACTAACTGCATTTTATATCAATTTAAACTATAATAATTGTTCATTTAATTGTAACTAACATGCAATTGTGTCCAAAAGCATTACATTACAAGTATATTCTTCATAAATATAAGTCTAAAAGTATGTTATTTCCGTAATAAGTACTCTTTTTAAAAGTATGCTAGCTATAAGTGCTTCTGCTTCAGAAGGGAAAGTGTCATTGCATCAGGAATCAAAGAGAGAGAGGGTTTGTCTTGTCTGTCTCGCCACCACATCTAAGAAAGCTTGACTTTCCTGGGTGCGTGCCACTCTTACTCATGAACCCTGCTTGGAAAATACTTCTAGTTAATGGTGACCACCCTGAGAAGTCTTGGACATAGATTCAATACATTTCAGGGGTTTTTTGCATTTGCATTAATTTTCAGTTTCGAAGTTGGTGTTCTGGTGAGACTTGGTCGCTCAACCATATCAAGTTTCCCAGGTATCTGCACGAGATGGAAAAAATTGCTTTTTTTGATGGTTAATCCACAATTACTTTTTTTTTGTCTGAAGTGCTGACTTCTCCAGAGAGGACCGGAGAGGGCCGTCTAGGTCACCGGAGGACTGCCCATCTAAGCAGCGCAAAAAATGAGGTCACTCTTTTCTGCTGTTTCGCCAAAATCCATCCTGGGTCGAGCCGGAGACATGGGGATCCAAACCTGCTTTTGTTTCAGGGACGCACTGTGTGGAAGTAGAGATGCAAGACAAGAAAACTTCTTTTTAAGATTAAAATCATTACTTAGGACACGTTTTAGTCACTTGTTCCCAAGGCCTACATGACCGTGTCTGTTCAGAACATTTACATGTAATGTTATAATGTAACTTTATTCATTTAAAACTAAAACTAGCAGCCCTTATAAAAAATTAACCTTGGTTTTACTACAAATAAAACCAAAAACCGTGGTTACTATAGTTAAACCACAAATTAGCCATGGTTTTGCTAAACTAACAATAGTTTAACCACGGTATTTGTAATAAAACTGTGGTTATGGTAATCAATACACCAAAAAGAAACTTGGTTACTAAAGGTTACTAAACTTTTACTATAGTACAATCATGGTTAATCTCATGTTTATAATATAATATAATATAATATTAGGGTTATTTATGTATTTATTAAGCATTTCAGCTGAAACTGGCATGATTACAAAATAATGTAAATGAATGCCTAATATAATGCATTAAAAGTTATTTTACTTTACTTAAGTTTAAGTTTACGTTACTTTAAGTTATTACAAGTAAATTAAATTATTTTTCAGCAAATAGTCCTTGAACCTGCATGTGTTGATTCACATTAAGATGTTTTGTAATGTTTTATTGTAACTTGTTTTTGTTGCAACTGGCATGATATATTTACAATATAATATAGGCTAATATAATATAATATATAAAAGGGTTATGTTATTTATATATAACAGTTTATTTATTGATTGATTGATTTATTAAGCATTTCAACTGAAACTGGCATGATATGAGCCATGTTTACTATATATAATATAATATAATACCTTAAAAGTTACTTTATTAAGTAAATTAAGCCATGGTTTATTTTGGCAGGAAGATTAACCATGCTTTTACTATAAATAAATATTAAAAAACACGGTTACTAAAGTTGGTATTTGTAGTAAAACTGTGGTTATACAAATGGTAATCAATACGCCAAAAAACATGGTTACCACACTTTTACAATAGTAACACCATAGTTGATTTTCGCAAGGGAGTCCCTGAACCATTAAGTCACATAAGCTTTGTTTCTTTTCTATTTATTGATCTTTCTAATGTGCTTTATTCATGTTATTCAACATATTCAGTTGAGATGATCTCTCTTCCTCTGAACAGCTTCGGTTTGTTACAGCCTCAGCTGGGGTTTGGACTGTAATAATGGCGCCTAATCGATAACCATATTTGTCTTACAGTAAACGTGCTAAAATATTTATGAATTATTTGATTCCCCGCTCAAAATAAATCAAACTCGTCTGAACCGCGTCGTAGAGGTCAGCGTAATTAATAGCTTTATTGAAATCAACTGATAATGTTAACCGCGGAAGGAAAGTAGAAATGGGCAAGTGAATCAATTGGACTGCATTATCACTTAACGAGCCTGTTGGCGTGAAGTGGTTCGCGCATGCGCGCTGTGAGAGTCCTCCTCAGTGCACAGCTGGATCGTGAATGATGCGGCGAGACAGATGTATTGTGATGCGCTGAAGGTCAGGCCTTATTATGTGACTGCAGCTCATGTCTGTTTAATCTCTACAGCTCCACAGCAACAATCCAATCAACCCCCACTACACACGGCCCTCATTCATCACGACAAACCACTCTAATTCTGCCCTTTGGAGGGGATACTGAAGAGAAATGGTGAATATTGCATATAACATCGATTACCTACTTTTTTTATAGATAGATAGATATTATATAATTATCATAGCTATAATTAATAAAAAAATATGTTCTATAATTATAATGTCTATTATAATCATTATTAGAAAGTTCACTCTAAAAATTGCTGGGTTGTTTCAACCCAATTTTGGGTCAAATATGGACTAACCCAACTTTTGGGTTAAAAATGTAATTAAAAAATTTAACCCAACAGCTGGGTTAGTCCACATTTGACCCATAGTTGGGTTGAAAAAACCCAGCATTTTTTTTAGAGTATTGTTTCAGGGAGAGGGCAATTACTACATTTTGATTAAAGATGCAAATGGAGGCATATTTCGTATTATATGGAAAGTAGTGCTGTCAATCGATTAATCGCTATTAATCGCATCCCAAATATAAGTTTTCGTTTACATAATATATGTGCGTGTACATGTCACGATTCGCTGTGGGAGGAACGAGAGAGAAACGTGGAGTACAAGCAAAAGTCTTTAATCCAGGAATCACAGGGGATAATCCACAACAGGAACACGGGAAACACACAACATCCAACAAGTAGACCCGACAGAGGAGAAATGCACAGACAATAACTTATAAACACAGGACAATTACCAAACACAGGTGTACAGAATGACTAATTAACTAAAAAGGACAGGAACATGACCAAATAAGGGAACACAGGAACAGAAACAGGGGCAAAACAAAACAAAACATATCGCCCCCCTCCCGGACAACAGGGGGGGGGGGGGTACGGGTGGGAACTTTGGAGGCAGCGCAGGAGGAGAACGGACACCCGGGAGGGTGCGGGCAGACAGAGACCAGGGAGGTGACGATGGAGGGAGGAGCCAGGGAGGAAACAGGAGGGGCTTGGAGCAGGAGGAGCCAAGCTGGACCCATGCCACAGCCATAATGACGGCCCACGGTGGAGCCGACGGAGGGAGGAGCCATGGAGGAGACGGAGAGCCAACGAGCCAGGGGGATGCAGAGGATCCAGGGGGCCAGTGTGGAGCTGAGGGCTCTGGCGACCAAGGCGGAGGCAGAGATCCGGAGATCCGTGGCGGAGCCGGACTGACTGAGGACCAAGGTGGAGCTGATGGGAGGAAGGAGCCCAATAGAGCCTGTGGGACGGAGCAACGAGGTGCAGCTGGAGGAGCAGAGTCCTGAGACGATGGCAGGTCGACGCCCGACCAAGGCGGAGCCAGAGGGACGAGGGAGCCATTTAGTTAATTAGTCATTCTGTGCACCTGTGTTTGGTATTTGTCCTGTGTTTATAAGTTATTGTCTGTGCATTTCTCCTCTGTCGGGTCTACTTGTTGGATGTTGTGTGTTTCCCGTGTTCCTGTTGTGGATTATCCCCTGTGATTCCTGGATTAAAGACTTTTGCTTGTACTCCACGTTTCTCTCTTGTGGAAACGTGGAGTACAAGCAAAAGCAAAAGTGTTCAGGCTGGCGTCATAGAACGAGCAGAGCGCGTCGTTCGGGTAGCTGGTAAGTTCGGCGAGAGCCAGAAACAGTCTGGTATGGTCCCCGAGCGAGCGCTCCCCCTGCTCCAGCAGCAGGAGGAGGAATTCTGGGCGAAGGAGGGGATCCATTAGGGCACACCACGGAAACAAAACACTGAGAGAAAACCGGAAAACAAAACGGAGGATAGACAAACGGAGGTTACTGTTTTGGGTCGGGTCTTCTGTCACGATTCGCTGTGGGAGGAACGAGAGAGTAACGTGGAGTACAAGCAAAAGTCTTTAATCCAGGAATCACAGGGGATAATCCACAACAGGAACACGGGAAACACACAACATCCAACAAGTAGACCCGACAGAGGAGAAATGCACAGACAATAACTTATAAACACAGGACAATTACCAAACACAGGTG